ACGTAGAGTGCCCCCAGAGAATGCTTGTGCGTATCTGAGCGTCTCCAACACCAACCGCTAGTCCATTAGGGACTTGATTACGGCTCAGAATGCTCGGGGCAAAAGCCCCACGACACTCAACAAGTTGGGCCACTTTTGCATCTCATCTGCATTCTCTGCTTAGAATAATATGCTCACGCGCAGTTACTTTCACACGAAACGTGGGGTGCGTTTATGTCGTATAGTTCCAACTCAATCTTATCCCGTGCTGGAGGGCAGTTTTGGTTAAGGGACCAACACTGGCAAGTTATAAAACTTGCCAGTGTATGCACCCGTAGTATTTGTATTGCCCCGGCGTGGGGCTGCATTGTCGCTGGCGCATGGGCACGTGCTTCCTTTGATGGCAGTCTTTGTTAGCTTGTATTGGTCCAAAACGCCTTTCGGCGGAGCATTTGCAGAGATGCTGAGCTCTTGTACGTAATAGGATTGTGAACGCATTGCCTTCAAGAATACGCAGCACACGATACCATCTAAAGCTAGGCCAAGAACAGTAGTCGGCAAATCTTGGCAAATCTCCCTATTACGGGAAATTGGCTAGCTGGCTGCGCTAGATGCATCTCCCATGCTGCGTTCACCAAGAAACAGCTATCATCCGAGAAAATGGTGGCAGGGACCAACTACAAAGCAGGTAAAAAAGGTATAAACAACGCTGGAGAGTGACTGCTGCCTCTAATGCTGATGAAGGCTTTGCCTGGAAGAAGAACGTGTCTTCGTATCCCTTTTCGCAACCAGAGCAATAAGCAGGCACCTGGTTCCGTGTATGGCAGAAAAAGCATTGAGGTGCCAGAACTGTTTCACGGGCACAGTAAGGTCTTAATTGCACCTCTTGGCTCACTCTAGGTCGGAAGCATCGTCCGCATTGAGGACTGCTCGGTTGAAATGTTACTTGACAGGGTGAGCTTCACGTGAAACTGAAAACTAATACATTATTTACAAGCATTGGCCTTGGGTACGCCAAGCTGTGGTTATAGCTTGCTGAACCTCCCACCAAACAGAAGCACGTGAGATGTAAAGAGAGCTCATCAGGGGGGGGGGAACTTTGCAGTGCCCTTCTACACCTGTAGAGCGCCACCAACAGAGCTAGTCTGGGCACTTCGATCTGGGAAATGATAATACATAAAGTGGAATAACGAGAGACATGCGGGAATTATGTTAGACCTGCCAACGTTCAGCTTACAGACCCCTGCAAGTTGAAGTGCAAGGAGGTATTTCTGGGGGGCAAAACGGCTTGGATTCAACGGGGAATGCACCGCGTCGCTCCCCGTAACCCATTAGATGGCATTCGCCACACCACAGACTTTCGCGATTCAACGTCTGGAATGAGCTCCCCATGTGCAATCGCTGTGCTCGCAGCACGTACTGGGACATTATGTGGAAGACCTTTTCTTGGATATTTAATGAGGTACCTCTGCTCACTGGGAAGAGTCCCCAGTCAATTTTCACACATGTAAAAGATTTGAAAGTGCAAAGTTACCAAAGCTGCCTGTTACCCAACAGGTTTAAGCTGTTCTTAAAGTGTATGTTCAGGTGCAGCGTATAACGTTTGCTACTGTGTACTTGACCGTTGCGAATGCATCGACGAAACGATCTAGGATCATTTATTCTCGTAAGGAAGCACATCCCGGCGCATCTCATACCTCCTCTCTGAGCTTCCCTTTTTTTAGAAGAAGAGGAACTTCCACCGTTTCGAACACTTATTCAAGTATCTTGCAGGTCGACATATGCTGCACATTGTTCTTAAATAGTAGCGTGCACATCCCGGCCGCTTGCCCATCGAAAACAACTGTGGGAACGAGCTTCTGCAAGTCCTAGGAAAGGTAGAGGAATTTTATGCGCGAACCAACCACCCAGTAGTTCGCATATCAATCCAATTACAGCTCTTGGAAACAAACGGCCTTGCGCAACGTCCTCATGTACCCTTTGGAGAGCACGTGAGTTCACCAAAACCACGTCCCCACTGGCGTCGAAGCGTGCACTTTTGGACTATAAAACCGCTTCGCACAAAGAGGAGAATCAAGCAACTTGGGTGAACGTTTATGGGGTAGAGTCGCAGATACTGCACAGGAGTACGGTTGGTGCGCTTCGATTTTTCGTTTGCCGCCCTGTTTGCTCTCAATAGTCAAGCTATGGTCGAAATTAAGCCTCTTCATGGATTCGTTTTACAAAGCGCGCATCACGCCGGTCGTCAGCATCCCAACGACTCCCACCCTTTCGCTTCTTAGTTCCTTGCCCGTTGTCCCCGTTGTCCAGCTGGTTATTGCTTGCATCGCTCCAGCGGACAGCTCTGCTGTGAACAATAGATAAAGAACGTCCATTCCATTATTGGACATCTCTTCATTAATGACTTATACTTTTCAATGTGTCGCAGTACCGATGGACTTCCTTGTCTAGGTTTTCGTATGCCTGCCACAGCCTCTTCCCTTGGTGGGTCTGGGGATAAACAGCATCGTACCGTGTGTCGGAATAATCCTATTGTGCTCCAGAAAAGTGTCGCCTTTACTTCGCTGTAGCCACCAGTATTGTACATCTCGTAATGAAGAGAATGATAGTAGCAACTGTCGCTCCTAAAGTGTATTCTGAAGGCGAAAGGACACCTCCGCAGAAGCAGGGGATCCCACTTCCCCGACATCGGTGTCCCCACCATAATCGAACGGTCAGCAGAGGTGGAAGCATTTCTCATCAGTAAGGTGGCCCACGGGTTCGCAACGGCAACAGCAGTAGAAGCAGTAGTAGCATCTGCAACTGCTTGTATCCTTTTCTTGTTTATTTTGACTACAGGCATTCGTCACCCCTCAACATGTAGACTGCGCACCACCTGAACCAGCGGCAACAAAACCAGACCCAATGCAGCGGTAGCGTTACCTGCATGAGTAGCTCTAACAGATGCGGGCTGACGCTGCAGCAGAAGCAGCAGAAATTTGTGTATGCAGTTGCATCGGCGTGCTTTGCGAAATGCGCGGCTCACCAACTGCAGTCAACAGACCCGTAAAGGCAGCGGCAGGAGCTGCCGGCACCAGCAGAAACCACAGTGGAAGCAACTTCTGCAGCACCACTTAACAAAGATACAGCTGAAACTAGGAGAGATATCCGACAGGAGGGAAGATTGTTAGCAGTTCCTCTAGAATCCAGTAGCGGACCAGTCGGAGGAGCGGCGGGCACGATCCTCCTAGCGATGCAGAATTTCATGCGGCAGATACTGGATGCATCAACACACATTCTTCATTTTCTTCTTCGTCTTGTCCCAAGCAATAAGCTCGCATAAGGTTCAAAAGATTCCGACATATAAGTGTGCTTCTTTGCTTCGGTACCTTCTGGCTCTTTGCGCGACGTAGTAGCATGATATTCACCAGCAGAAAGTGCGGCGTGAGCCCTCCCTTGGGATTCATGTATATCTGATTGGGCCGCCCAAGCACACGGGGGCGTGCGCTGCAGAAGGGATACGGATTGGCAGATCTGGCATAGTTTGTCCGAAGTTGATATTAGTTTTAGTTGCATGCAGGCTGCCTATTAAGGGCCAATGCAATCTACACCAATTGGATACACTGTTAGCGCATGCAGCAAATGTGGTTTGGTTATGCTTGCATGCAAGCTGGCCGCAGATCACTAGTTGCAATAAGGAGAGTCGTGCCAGGCCCTCCCCCGCAGTCCCATTCTCCCAGGACGGCTGGGGACTGGAGGAAGGTTGCCTGACCCTTAGGAATCCCTACTTTTAACTCTTTTAGCTCCACTGCAGTTCTCAACGGTCCTCGGCTAGGACCGAAGCCTCTCGTAACAGCACCGCGCAGGCACAGGCAAGCCCGCTTCGTTGCATGCGCTATCACTGTATGCAGTTGTTAAAAAACAACCTGGCCCTCCTTAGCCAGCGTGCACGCAAGTAGAGATACACGTGCCGACTTCAGACAGACCATTGTACACGGAGCATGGTGCATAACACTACGCTGCAATGAGAAACAGCAAGCGTACCCTAGAGCAACGATAGCATCCTGGCTACGTATGGAAAACGAAGGTTTTCTCTGAAAAAAATAATACATTTTGAAGGGCGGCTTCATTCAAACTGAAACCAGGCCGTTGAAATCACCCACAACGGTGAGGAGTAATGGTGCCACCGGTACGAAAGTTACACCTTCCGTACTGTAGATTTGCCTCAGTCGGTGTCTCAGATTTTCGTGCAGACAAGATATGGATCCAGTCCTGTTAATTTTGCAAGTGAGCTTGAGGAGGCTATCCACAACCAATATACTCGAGGTTGCTCGGCTGCATAGGCGGCTGCATAGAGACCATCGTGCCGGGGCCCACACCGCGGGGGCCACAGGATATTATTCGCCCTCTAAGCAAGCAAATCTTGCAGTATTATTCCCCCTGTACTGGACGAAGAATGTGGCTGCTTCAGTTTTGATGGGGTTTCCGCGGTAGTTATTCCTGGAGTCCGTATTATTTCCCTGCCGTTACTAGGGAGACTCTCTTGTTCGGGATGCACGCTGCCCTTGCGCAGTGCTCCAACGACTTTCGGGTCCCTCTCAGTTGCTTCCGCATTTTTAGCCTTCCTTCTTTTCATCTGATTGCTTGTAAAACAACGGGGCTGGACAGCGCAGTTCTCTAGCATCTCCGCGAGGACGAATAAAGTAGGGCGGGCTGCGAATAGAAATTTCAGCTGACTACCTGTCAGCTTAGAGCAAGCTCGCATCTCCAACAAGAATTGGCCAACAGGCATTTATGCGGGTAAAAATATTAGCTGCATAGGCACCTATTCTTCTCATCTCACCTTCCTAGGTTTGGCTTTGCGAAACCACAGAGCCTCGTAAGCTCGTCTGGGCCAGGATACATTTGATTGCTCGCCTTTGACTGCTGTTCTCCGCGATCCTCGAAAAGCTGAACAAGGCACGCAGGCTGCTTTGGGATAAGGGGCATGTACGGCTACGCACTGGGGCCCGAAATCATTGCAGCCGTTGAAGCCCCTGAAGATGGAAATTGTGAAGAAAGGCTCGACTCTGACGGTAACACAGAGTCGCTTCGTGAATCTCCAACCTGACCTGCCAAACGAATCAAGTGGATATGGAAACTTGGGAGACGGCCGCTTCATGCTGCCATCGAGTGCCCAGTTTATGCTAGACGGCGATGAAGAGAAGCAAAACCCCAGAATTCTTGGAAAGGGAACCAAACAAGGCAAAGAATTATCCAGTGGCAGGCGCGCGCGCGTATTGTGGGCTGCGCTTGCAGCAACGGTGTCCTTATTAGCGATAGTGTTCTTGGTTCAGCAGTGTTCGACTGCTTTGCAGGCGCCGCACTCAAGTGCAACTTTTCGGCGGCTGGCAGTGGCTTCGGGCGACCACCCAGATCTTCAGATATGTCAGGAGGAGGTAAACATTCCGGCAGCAGCTAGTGGGGCGGGTGGATCTGTGTTCAGCACTCTGATTTGAAGAAGCCAACAGGCGTCAGTGGTGTATCTTTGCTCTTGAATGCGTGCCATGCTGAGATATCCCATTGTTTCCAGATGCAAAATTCTCTTTAGTTATCTCCACCGTCAGGTGCCGTATTGCCGGAACAAGTTTCAGTTTAGGGACTTCAAGTGAACTGTGTTATTAAGATGCGGCTTTGATAGGTTCCCGAGCAAGCAAAAGAGGCTGCGAGGCGCATAGTCGCCAGAGTCAAGCACTGGGTGGATACAAGCAAAAGTAAGCAGATTCAGTAACCGGAGTAGTTGGTTGCAGGTAGAGAAACTACTGCTACGTTGGACACAACTGAACAAACAACAGGTTCCTCTAGACCTACGAATTGGGGTCGGGAAGAAAGGTGACTGCTTTGGCCTCGTGGAAATGTATTAATTTAATTCGTCTTGCTTGCGCGCCTGTTTTAGCTTGTCTTCTGCTTTGTAAGATTGGAAATTTGACGGTGCGGGCGGAAGTCGACAAGTCGAGCAGATTGCCTGGGCCTGTAAGTGGGGAAAATGTCATCATGACCAGAGCTTGCATGAGCCGCCGCCTTGTGTTCCTCGAAGCTGTTGCCCTATATTTCTCTTGCGCACCTTTGTATGTGCGCTGAGCTACAGGAAATGGACTACGTCATTACTGTGAGCAGAGAAGATATTTCAGTCGCATGGAAAGCAGCTCCCCAAAGCTAAAAGCAGCTCCCCAAAGCTATGGTTAGGCGTTGCCAGATATTAATGCGCACTTCTTGTCGCACAGTGTACTTCTTATCCCAGCGCTAAGAGGATGGATTTTCTCAGGGGCTTATTGAAGCTACTGGCATGATGACCGACGATTTGGCCAGGTCGCTTGCAACTCTGCAGCAAGGCCAGCAGCTGAGTGAGCATTGGATTCACCCTGAACTCTTCGACTTCTCCAACGAGACAGTTCACAGGACATGAGTCACCCGCCTTCGATTTCACTTGGATAAGTGTGCAGACACCCAGTGAACAGTTGCTCCTTGCTTGCTTCCGCCTTTGTTTTGCAATGTACAGCTATAAAGAGACGTGCTCTGACTCCCACGGGGAAAGAGCATTGGATTCAGGTCAGCGTCCGCTTTGCGAAGGGCAGAGAGGTACGGCATGCGTCACACGCCAACAGTGCGTAAGCGGTAAGGGCAGACGAAGTGGTATAGAGCTTACAAGAAGATGCTCGCTTGTTATTGCTACCGTTTCCTCGTGCCTTCTTTGCGCCTTCTCACTCCGCTTCTGTTTTCAGCGCGAAGTTTTTCCTTGGGTTGTCCTTGAGTGGGCTATTGACCTTTTGAAGCATACTGAAAGTAACTAGAAACAATGCATTGGCACAGTGGAAGCGTTTTACGGAGGGTGGAGCGTAATGGAGAATGCAGGCTGAGCGAGAATGCGCACGGCTGCGTGGCTATCCATCATAGGCACTGAGGGCATGGCCCCTGACAGGACCAGCTCAGAAACCTGCCAACTTGCGCAAAGATTCTACAGTTCAGTGTGTTGGCAGCTCTTCGAAAGAAAAATGTTACAAGCTCCGTTCTGCTACATGGGTTGCGCTTGTAGGGAAAAAGGGCAGGTTGCTGATGGGCCCGATGTTATTTAAGCTGAAATACTGTGAAATTGTGAGTTCCTATTTGCATGCCTTACACACTAGAATGGGCTGCCTGCCTTTTCGTGGGATGCCCTGGTAGCGGTACACAATATGGCAGTGTAGCGATTTGAATCGACCGATTTTGGCTGCGCTGGGAGGGCTCGTGAAACTTGAGCCGTGACACTGTTCCACGCCCCCAAGTTCGGGATGGATGCATGCTTTAACGTTGAGAGTTCCCCTCTCAAGGTTTCTCGCCAATCAATGCTATACAAAATATGCTTGGGATCAAGAACCCCAACCCAGATTATGATTGCGGTGTTTTGGGTTTGGTTGGTTTCATTGTCTCAGGGTCATCCCTCCAAGACACCACTACGCAGTGTTCGTCTCGAAGAGAATGGCACCGGCGACTACTGGTTTTGCACTTCCCCACAGTGACAGTTGCCAGCCAAGGCTTATTAGAAATACAGCATCTAAGATACTTCAACGCAGTTGCAAGTGCAATTTCCAAATAGCTTCCCATGTGAGCTAGGAAATCAAGTATGCTGCGCCCAATTTTGGACAGGAAACTGCTGATAAACTCGAGGAAGAGTGGGATCGAGTCGAGACCGTTATTATGGAGTCCACAGACACCGGCCAAAGAAGAGGTCTGGCGAGCTTATTGGCTACCCGTTCTTGCACCACCGTTGCAAGTTGGTCCACGGGATTACGGGTTTTCGTGCGTTCTAAGCACTTCGCTGTACCTGTTTTGGGTGATTGATGGTTCAGAGGTTGCAGTGGCAGCGGAGAGGTGCCGACCACACGGCTTCGAGATGGGTGTTGTGACAATAAAAGTGCGCTGTGCAACTTCTCGCGAGGTACGCCTTCATCGATTGGAACGGACGCATTATGAAGGAGCAAACCCTAACTTTGTGGCATTGGTGCCCTTTGCTCGCAAGCCTGCACAATCAGACGGAGCTACCAAAGTTTGCACTAACATCAGCTTTGTATCTCGTGCCACTCCTGACTGTATTGATGTTTGCTGTGGGGAAGAGAAAGCGTCTGACGGGCCACCCTTACAAGGATGTTACTGGCATGAAATCATGGCATTCCAACGGTGAGCCATTCGGTAGAGCGTGCCCGCCAAACTGCCGCTGTCAGGGGCTCGTGTACTTTGAAGAGATACGTTATAGGAACGAAGTAGTGTGTAAAAATCTAGGCTGTTATAAGAACGCGGGGACGTTCTGGAGCAGGTGTATGTGGGATGGGCATAACTGTAGGGTCCGGACAATCAAGCAATAGCATGATCACCTATGTTTCCTTGAACTGCGTTTTGCTACGATGCTCTTTTTTCTTGCTGCAGGTGGCGGTGAGGGCCAGGCCCTTCGAACAGGTGCGTGCAGAGTGGAACGTGTGTTTATAGATAACGGCACTCAATGGAGTGCGTGATGCGCCACTCCAAAGTCAACTACTTTGTGCTGCGACTATCTGTGTGAATGCTGCAGGGGGCGATCAGCAGGGACGTTCTGGAACAAGTGCGTGTGGGATGGGCGTTTCTGTAGGGTCCGGACAATCA